TATATATATATATATATATATATATATATATATATATATATATATATATATATATGTAGAATGTGGAGTAATTTGTGGAGTAATTTTTTATAATTGTTAAAATTCTTCTCCTCATCGCCGCATATATAGTTCCACTTGACGAGTTAAAGTAGATCAATAGTTCCAGTGTATTTCCAGTTTTTAATGTTCTAAATAATTGTACAATTTTTAATTTTAATAGTAAAATAATTTCAATATTTTGTTTATAGAACTTTTCTTTTTAGTTTTCTCATCAGTTACTGTGGCCATATTAGATTGATGACGTCAGAAGCGAGGAACACCATGTCCAAAATTCCTGCGAACGGCTAAATAAAAAGATATATCATTGAAATGATTCTTGCAATTCGTTCTACATACTTATAAAATGTTCCGGATACATTTTTTTCACTGAAATAATTAATATATAACCGATAAATAAATGTGACAAATAGCCTCGTTTTGACTGAAAATCAGCTGTGTAATTTCGTGCTAAATATGACCGAATATCTACTTTACGCATTAAATATCACACTTCTACAATTGTATCACATATGATGTGCACACACTCATGTACATACATTTAGGAATAAAAAGCAAAACAAAACATGTCTATTGTAAAATACGTTTTATGTTTATCTATAGGCATTATACTTGATATTGTTTTAACTTAAAGAATACTGGTAATAATAAACGAATACGTTGGATGCATAGAAAGTTGTTAAAATGACATTTTAATGTAATTATAATATTATAGAAGAACCAGTTTAAATATACGGTTTTTGGAATCCTACATAAACCTCAGTAATACGTAAACCTCAGTAAATATAAACAAAATATTCGAATAATAGGTACATAAGAATTGCTTTGATACGTGCCTTCGTTCAAAATCCTTAGTCTACCCTTTCGTGTACATAATTTACATAATTACTAGAGAAAGTTAAAAATATTGAAGAAAGTTGAAATATTATAATATTTGCAATATCGCGAAACCATTGCCTAATATTTTAATAACATATGTTAAATTTTCTTTGGATGCGGAAATATTGTCAAAAATATACATATACATGCATTCTACTATGACATATTTACGTGAGGAAATTAATTACATTACTCGCATAAAAATATATTTTTTATTTTAAAATATATGACGAAATCTTCGTTTTATTTTAAAATAGTAATGCAATCTATTATTAATATTTTCATTCGTTGTCAACGTTAATAAATGAATGCTGAATATTTTTATTAAATAACACACACGCTTACTGAACAATAGTTACGTTACGGGAGAACACACGGATCGTGATGAAATACGCAATGTTTAATGCGATTTTCACTCTTGAAGTTATTCCATATATATTTTAATCACTAGATAAAATTCGAGAAAGATTCCGCTTGGGAAAGAATACACTTAATAGTATAACGTCTTTCCAAAGCATTTCCCATTTAGAATATAAAATATTGTGAAATAAATTTATTTTAATAACTCTCTTTGTCTAATATTACATTTGTCGTAGGATATTTTGGTATAATTTTATAGAATAATATGTAAAAAAATCATATTTAATAGTTAATATCTAGTGGAATATGATTCATCGGGATTATAACTAAAAGCATATACCTATAAAAATATATAGATTATTAGAAATAGCAAAAAAAGAAATATATTTTATGAAATTACGATACTATATTTGTTATTAGGATTTTTTATTCGCTTTAATTTCCAGAATA